TGTTCAGGGAACTTCCTATTGTTGGAGTTTTATCCGTTGCAGTCTTTGCAGTTGAACAAGTAAAATGAAGCAGTTGGATGAGATCTGTAGACCATTTTCCAAAACTATAAACTGGGACATGACCTGACAAGAAATATTTTTTCTTCTTCTAAGTTGTGAATATTTTCAGATTCTTAAAAACTCCTAACAGTGTCTAAGTTCTTACATAACCTTTAGATAATAAAATTGATTTCTGCCCACCACCTTTCTGCCTTCAGACTTCATTTAATCATCAATTCAGCCTTAAACAGACTTGCCAAGTTGCTTAAGCCCAATGCTTCATGAGGGCATAAGAAGCTGCTTTCCTCTGGTTTCCTATCAATGCTTACCTGTCGCTGTGTTCCTACTTGATGTCATGACTGATAGAAATAGATTGGTATCAAGGCCTATATTTCCTTCTGACATAGCACTGTCATCATTTTCAGGATGATTATAAAAAAACAAAGAAACCTCTTACTCAGTGACTCTCTTCGCTAGGTATGATCTTAAAGTAACTTTTTGGTAGTCGTTATCTTTCTTGAAATTGTATCCTCTGTCAGTGGCTATCTTTTATCAGTCTTGTCAAACAATAATTTTATACAAAAATTGTCATATTAAGAAAGAATAATTGCCAAGCTATAAAATATGTAAGTTGTAGGATTTATTTATAACTCTCAAATGGAGTTTATATGTTATTAACCTCCCGTAACGTTCATGTTAAGGTGTCATGTAAACCATTTTTTAAATTGTAAAAGTGGTAAATGTTTAAAGTTTTTCTTAATCAAAGGGTATAGAGTAAAATATAGAAATTCTCCTTCCCTATTTTCTAGCTTTTAGTACCTCTCTCCAAATGCAATCACTATTAACAATGTCTTAAGTTTCTTTGCATGAATTTTCTAAGCATATACAGTTTTACATATACAGAGGGTGCCAAAAAAATGTATACACATTTTAAGAAAGGATAAAAGCTATTAAAATTATAATACTCAATATATACCGATAACAAAAGAATACAAGTCACATTTGATTTCTCCAATCAGAAGAGTTGCTCAAAGTGGTTACAATCAGCATCCTGACACTGCTGATTAAGGCGAACTATTGCTTGAGCAACGTTGACCTGTCTAACTCTGTGCACAACAAAATCTATCCATGTGGGTCAAAGATCCATGTGAGCAATGAAACAGCAGAAAGCTGGGGGAAGTAATCTACATGTGCAATGTGGGGGTCAGACAGACAGACCTTCCTGACCAAGGATCCAAACTAGGTAATTTTGACTCCAACGTCTGCCCTCTTGAATCCCACAGCATGGCCCACCAGAGGATAAGTCATTCACTGGCTACACAAATGGATTTTGAGTCCTCTAACTGCCATTTCTTTTTATGTCACTGTGATTAGAGTGTGGTTTGGCCTCAGGTGTTCAATAGAACAGAATGAACTGACCACAGCCTAAGTAGATAAGCCACTAAGGGGAACTGTTGATGAGCATCATGCCTAAAAGAATTCTCAAAAACTGTTCTCCCCTCCCTCTGTCTCTCTCTCTTTCATCTTCCCACCTGCTGCTGTGATTCAGGCGCATTATACACGACTTGCTTGAGACTGAAGAGATTTATATAAAACAGATTAAGAGCATAATTGATGTAAGTAGAATGGAGGGGAGCCTTAAGCATGTATTCAAACTGAAGAAGTTTTGTTGCACAAAGAGATTCAAAATAGTTGCCATATGTCTCCAGAATTCCTCCCAGGGTTTCAGGTCATATAATATCACAAGTGTCTTTCCACTAGGAATAAGAACATTCTTATGACTATTGATCCATGTTAACTAAATAACTTCCAAAGGATTGTGCCAATGCACACTGATTCTAGCAATGCCCAACTAGGTTCACCATATGCTTGCCAACAATGGATATGATAATTGAAATGTTTTTGATAATTTAATAAGGGAGAATTGTTTCTCATTGTTTTAAGGAGCACTATTTGCTTAAGAGTGAAAAGGTGTATTTTCTCTATTTTCCTAAGGGGAAACATGAGGCATAAACTATATGTACAAAATTATAATAGTTTTTTATTAAACTATAAAATATCAGAAGAAAACCGAATATCCAGTTAAAAAGGGAATGGTTAATTAAGTTTGATATACATGCTAAATAAAATCTTGTTCAACTCTTACAAAATAATTATTTTGAATAATACGTAACAACATTGGAAAATGCTTAAAAGATTAAATTAAAAGCAATATATGTAGAAATTTACTCTAGAAAGTATATTGCAAAACAATACAAATTAAATATATATGTACTGTGATTATAACCATATAAAACAAGCTTTTAAAAAGTCATGAAGTTAATATAATAAAATATTAATAGTAATTGTGTCAGGTCATAACATGATGGGTAAATTTTTTCCTTTCACACTTGACTCGTGTAAAAACATTTTAAATGGATATTCTTTCTATAAAAATGCCATTTTATTATCATTGCCAACAAACCATCTCCTTCTGAAGATGGATACAAAAGGAAAATAATATCAGGAGAAAGTGTTTGATGGAATGGCTTTCAGGGAACATGTGTGCCATATTCCCCAATTATTTTTATTAAAATTTTATTCCCTGGAGCAGCTAGTAATTCAGATAATCTCTTATATGCTCCTATCTGTAAAACCTACCTTGTGTCCACCTCTGCAGGGATACATCACTCCAATGGATTTTATTTGGCTGAAGCACCTGATTCCAGATGTTCTTCAAAATAACAAGGACTTTCTCTTTGGGAATATTAAAGAACTTTATGAATTTCACAACAGGTATATATAATAATTCCAATTATCGGGAAAAATGGCAAGTAAGAGACGGATGGAAACCAAACTGATGGAGTTTGGAGATGAAAGTGTTTGGACATTTTCAGGCTTACGCAAGTAGCCCAGGGTCAGTGGGTTGGGGTGGGGTGGGATGAGAAGGAGGGGAGAAGTGCCACAAGATCCCTAAGGAAGATGGGAAAGGACATTAATGAAGTGTGTGCTAGGGGCCAGGCATCAGTGTTGTATTCATTTGTGTGTTCTTTTGCTTATTTACCTATTTCTACAGCAGCACTTACTGAACACCTGTTAGGTTTCAGGCACAGTGTTCAGCATTGGGAATACAAAGATGACCAAGACACGCATTTGCATGCCTATTATAGGGTAGAGCTGGGAACTAGGGTGTTAAAAAATGCTAACTGGTTCAACAAGTGGTCCTTTTAGCCCAGGGCTGCTTAAGTGCTGCATTCCAGAGAATTAGAGGTGGAAGGAACTTTGGAACCCCTCTTCCAACCCTTGCATTTTATTGATGAGGAAACCATGGCTTGCTTATGCACTTTATTCACTATGACCTCAAAATCACACATCTAACTGATGGAAAGGAAAAGAACCACAGCTGTATCCTAACCACATGTCATCTCTCTTGGTCTGTTGTCAAAACTGAAATAAAAAACTCATTTCTTCTACTTTTCCTGAAGAAACTATGCAACCTCTTTGAACCTCAGATTTCACATCCATGAAACCCTATCTTGCAAGGTTTGGTGGAGGATTCAATGAGATATTGTTTGCAAAGCACTTAGCTCATGCCTGGCTTCTAGTAAGCGCTCAGTGATTAGTGGTAGTAGCAGTGGCAAGAGCAGTAATTCTTATTAACATTATTGTCTTGTATTAGGGAGCCTGGGTGTATCTATTCTGTCTATAGCTAGTGCTTAGAACCAACAGAGCAGTTGTGGGTGCTTTCAGAGCATCCTAGTAATGTGACAAAATACATTTTTTTCTTCCAAGTCAATGTGCTGAAGATGAATCAAGAGCAATAAAGCCTGGAAAACAACATTTTTCTAGGCATAGCTTAAAACCTCATATGATTTTGCTTAAAAGGAATTGTAAGCCCATGTGTATAAAAATCAAAGCATACTTTCCTTTCCCTAGGACTTTTCTAAAAGAATTGGAAAAGTGCACTGAAAACCCAGAACTTCTGGCACGATGCTTTCTCAAGAGAGTAAGTCTGTGTTCCCAATAACTAAAAATAACCATGTGATTAAAGTCAGCCTTTAATTGTCTGTGTACGTGGCAGGGGCCAATGTCTGAAAACTTTTATCTGCATTTTGAATGCAAAGCAGGAGTCCTTTGCAGTAACCCAGTGGATATGAGTCCAGTTTGACTGAGCTCACACTGATAGCAGGAGCCACTTACCAGCCTGGCTTCTTGCAAAGCCCAGAGAATGAAATGAGTGCCCCCCCCCCCCAGGCAACCCAAAGCAGGTGACCCTGAATGACTCTGAATGACTAAGCTAACTCTTTTAGGACAAGAATCACACTTACATTCCTCACTAGCTGTATTTACGCTCTCAAGAGAAGTACTGATGTTAAACTAAAAATCCTCCCAAATGTATTTACTTCTATTATTTTTTACAGCAGAGAGGGCAGTCAGAAAACGTTAAATCTTGGTTTAGCGCCCAATTTGTGAATTTCCTATCCTATCACAACATACCTCTGACTACCTCCCCTTTGGATCCCACAGACCTATTCCCTCTCATCGCTTCTCCACCTCTGCCTTAGGCAGTAAATCAGCTGTTTGGGCCAGTGATGCTCCCTAGGCGCTGCCGCAGAGAAATGTCTTACCCAACACCATTCCTCACCAAATGCTTTCTTCCCTATAGGAGGACTATGCAGACCGTCCGGGTGCCCTCTACTCTCTAAATCTTCCGCATTTCTTCTCTCTCCCCTGGCTAGCCCTTCTTTGCCTTCACTTCCTTGGTTTTCTTTTTGTGAGCCTGAGACAACAGATCCAACAACTTCAAAATTTTTCAAGAATCCAAATCATGGTTGATAAAGTTTAAGAGCAATACTTGTGATAAAATGAAAGCAAGGAAGCAAAAATCCCCAGGTTTTAAGGTATTCGACATAATGGAAAAACAGGGCCTTCAACCCTCAGAGCTCCTGACCAGCTTAAAAGCCCCCTTCCAGGGCCCTGTATGAACTGTCCACCACATCGCCATGAGAGGTTTTCATCAAGGGCTAGAATTCAAGCTAGCACACTAAAAGCTATTTTGTATTCAATCTGATTAATTTCCTTTTGAATTACTTTTACATCATTATTAGTGTTTTATACTATTTTGCAGTTTTGCCCTCATCAAGCTACCAATGTGAAATCTAGTTTCAGAGTCTGGAAATATTTTATAATTGTTTATGTATTATTGCAAAGACTTATTTAAATTTTTGAATGAGGAATGGATCTAATTCCTGTGGGGAAAAAAATGGATGTTATCAAGTAAAAATTATCCAACGATGAGGAAATAAATGGTCAGGGAGTTGCTAACTAAACATGGTTTCTTAGAAGAATTCCTCTCCTAAAGTTTTACAAGGCATTTTATAGTCTCCCATGTTGAGAAACACCTTAGAAATCATTAATCCAGACCACAAAGTCTGCATACGAGGTCAGACAATTAAGTTCACAAACTCATCCTAGAAAAAGTGCTACATACCTCATTGCTGAATATCAGTATGGTCACCTTTGAAGTACTCCCCTTGGGAAGCTATGCACTGACGCCAGCACCTCGTTCACCCTTCAAAGCAATTCTAAAACTCTTTCTGCAATGGCCGTCAGATATGTCATCGTATTACCCTTGATGACCTGAATGTCGTCAAAATGTCTTCCTTTCAATATTTCCTTTATCTTCGGGTAAAGAAAGAAGTCATTGGGGGGGCAGATCAGGTAAATAGGGAGAGTGTTCCAATACAGTTATTTGTTTACTGGCTAAAAACTCCCTCACAGATAGAACCATGTGAGCTGGTGCATTGTTGTGATGCAAGAACCATGAATTGTTGGCGAAAAGTTCAGGTCGTCTAACTTTTTCACGTAGCCTTTTCAGCACTTCCAAATAGTAAACTTGGTTAACTGTTTGTCTGGTTGGTACAAATTCATAATGAATAATCCTTCTGGTATCAAAAAAGGATTGCAACATGTTTGTGAACCTAATTGTCAGGCCTCTTATGATATTGGAGACAAAGTTATGAAGCACAAAGTTATTGCTCTGGGACAAATTGAGTAATTAAAAACCACAATGATCTAATCTTTGAGAATCCTTGAGGGAATTGGCTGCTGCTGTGCAAAGACTTGTATTTGTTAGCCAACAAGGCAGGCCCATCATCTTTTATTTACTAGAGCAGTTCATCTTTTCTCAGTACTATTTGCAGAATACCAATCATCATGGAAATGAATTTCAAAATATTGCTCTGGCCAAGTGTTTTCATCAGACTATAGCCTATCGCATCCAGGGAGATTCTGCCCCAGAGATCAAGCCCTATGTAGAATATTAGTTAGTGGTTTCCTTTGAGTTCCATTTGCCCAGTTGGACTCAGGAAATGTAATTTCTTATCTAAGTCGAGACGCTTGCTATCTGCATGACTTCAATTAAGTCACTTAAACACTTTCCTCCTCTATACAACAGGCTTAATAATATTCATATGTAAAATTGCTGTGGAAATCAAATAAAATAATGCATGCATAAGGGTGCTACAAAATAAAAAGTACTTTGACACTAGCTACCATTGGTTGGGTGCTCTGTATGTATCAGGCATTTGTTCAGGTTTCTGTACCTCATCTCATTTAATCTCACAGCAGTCATAGGAGTTGAGTGCTGTTGTGAGCCCACTGAACAGATGAGAAAACTGATGTGTAGTAATGTTAAGTAACTGACCTCAGGTGACATAGTTTGCGATTGACAAAGCCAAGAACTGAACCTGGACCACCCACCACCAGAGCCCACAGTCTTAATCAATAAGTAATCTTGTCTTCCTGTGTGACTATGAGTTTTTGGTAGCAATTTTTTTAACCTCCTGTCTTATTCTAATAGGAGGTGAGGGGAATCGGGCACTTTCATATGCTGCTGGTTCGTGCACATTTTTTCTCAAAGGAATTTTGGACGGAAGAGCAAATTTAGGTCCATAGTTGTGTTTCGGTCCCTGAAGGCCTATAATATTCTGTGATGCTCCAAGTACAGGCACATGGCCAAGGGGTGAAGGTTTCAGGAGCGCAGGTTTCAGCGCAGCACCAGGTCCCCTCTCTGTACTGGGAGAGTTTGGGGAAAGGTGGCTGACTGTTGAGAAGGTTTCACTGGGTGGGAAGCTGGATCTCCCAAATGCCCTTCAGCTTCTAAGAATCTTTTGGTGGGGAGTGTTGAAAGCAGTGAAACCTTGACTTCTTTTAGAAGCTCTGACAGACCAAATGTGGGTGAGATGCCTTAGTCAATTTGTAATGTTTCATAAACTGGCCCTCAGGATGGCAGGAATGTTCTCTGTGTCTAGGCTACTATGCTATGGGAGCCACTGAATTTAACAAATGTACTTAGCATGGTGCCAGCACATCAAAGGCACACAGTAGGTGGTTCTTGAGTGAATGCATCATGAATGTATAATTGTCAAGCTCTGAATTATCATTCTATTGGGTTGTCGGAAAAGCCATGACGCATTTTTGCAACTAAAAACGTAGAAAAACTACGTCATGACTTTTCTGACAACCCAATAGTTCCTTAACCGGTCTGAACAACATTTCTCTTCCTAAGTGTGTGTGTGTGTGTGTGTGTGTGTGTGTG